CATTGCTCAGATGCAAACACAGAACACCAGAGATCAAAATGGTACAGCCCAGGCCCCCATTTTAGAGGTCAGAAAATGGACCCAGGGCAGCCAAGGACTTGACCTAGTTCTTGGAGTGTGCCCAGGTCCAATTTGCCAATGCATGTGCATTACAGCCATGTGAAAAGGTCATTCCAGAAATAAGGAGGCTGTGTGACTTTAGAAAGCCCTTCCCTCTCTGGTCTTTGGTTTCCTCATCTTGAAAGTGATGTAACGGGATTAGATCAGTATTTTCAAGGTCCTGGGAGGTATACTGCTAATAATGCAGGTTACTGCTCCCCCTGACTCAGATTATGAATCAGAACATGTTAACAGGCTCTTGGTAAACTAGATGATCTCTAAGCTTTTTCCAGGGCTGACTTATCATGAGCTTCGCCCACTCTACTCACCCCCCTGCCCTGCTCCCACGAAAAGCCTCCATTAGGGACAGCCAGCTCCTGCCCAGGGCCAAGCTCCTACTGCAGCATTCCCCAGTCTTCTGGGCCCAGAGGCGGAGAGCTGGCAGCAAATGCCCTGTTTTAACTGTTCCTGGTCTTTACTTTCTGGGTAAGCCCTTATAGGCCTTGCACTGAGAGTCCCAGGTTTGAAAATCCACCTTTTTTCAACCTCAGAACAGCTTGCAAACAAACCACACCCCAAACAGCCACCCCTGCCCCCTTTGCCCATCACAGCGATACCTTTGGGAAAGCTGCTTAACTTCTCTGGGCCGCAACTCTTCCTCTAAGTGAGGAAACTATTCCAGGTGTGTTAAACCTAGCTCATACAAACCTAGATTCTCTTATCAGCCCCAGACAATAGGAACTGATGTCTGCCCCTAGGTTTAGCTCTGTACAGAAGAGTGAGACTAGCTGACCACCTAACTTCAGTGTTTCTATCAAGCCTGGGTGAATGTGTTGGGTCCCAAGACATATCCCTCAGGACTGTGCAGCTATCAGGGTACAAACGCACTATGCACCCCACTTTATTTCCTACAGTGGTGAGGAAAGAGTCCTGGGCTGGGAACCAACAGGCCTGAATTCTAGTCCCAGTTCCGCCATTAACCTCTGGGTGACCCCGGTGAGTGTCCCTCCCTGGGCCTCAGTTTGCCCACCTGCAGAGTGAAGGATTAGCCTAGGCCCCTGGTTCTCAAAGTGGTTTGTGGACTAGCAGCAGCAGCAGCAGCAGTCAACTTGTTGGAAATGCAAATTCTCTGTCCTCTCAATCCCAGATCTACGGAATCAGACTTTCTGGGAGTGGGGCCCAGCACTGTTTCATCGAGCCCTGGTAATGCTTCTGATACATGCTCAAGTTTGAGACCCACTAGCCCAGATGCTTTCTAAGACCTCTTCCTGCTCAAACATCCAATCACCTGGATGAAATGAGAATTACAGATACCACAAGG